TTTAGTGCATTAACAATTCGAAAATGAAATTTATTTCTGTTTACTGATAAAGTCAATATGCATCATGCATTCATTTGTTGATATCGCATCACTTTTCGCTGAAAAAAAACACAAAATAGGATTCAAATTTTAAACTTGTACGATAACGAACGCAAGCATGATGAAACGAATGATTAGATAAAGATTTCACAGTAATTTTATTTCATATATGAAGTATCAATTTTAATTTCAATTTCAAAGTTTCTTTTTTTGCTTTTTGTTTTGTTTTTGTTCATTGGATTAAATGAAGACATTTGGAAAAGATAAGAGAATGACGTTGATAAATGACGTGTGATAATAGTTCTACGTTAACATAACATCACACACCAAATTGTAAACATTAGTTTTATTTTTATCACATGATCTTTTCAGTTATTTCTCCATCATTTCTTGCTGTAAAAATTTTTAAATTCAGTAAGAAAGATAGTGCCGAAAAAAATTCTCCTTAAATGACAGATAATATCAATGAGAGCATTTGCATCCATCAACATTGCACGTACAGTATCACTTTTGGTAATGAATATTTTTGAGATAACATCACGTACCAAACTTTTTCTTTTCTTCTTTCACATTCAGTACGATGAAATAATTAAAAGTTTTTTTGAAATATAATTGAATTTTTTTCTTCCAAGTTAATCAAAGAGTATGTTGGAAGTGATTGGAAAAAGTGACATTGAAATGTAATAACATAAAGGAAATTTTAAAAAATTTAATTTCAAATATGGAATAAAATATTTAATGACGAAAGATTTTTACTCAATTTTGGTTGATATTTTTTCAAAATCAGTTGTCTTTGAAAATTCACGATATCTCAATTTTTAATCTGTTAATTTATTATATATAATGTACTTCAAAATACAAAAACTTTCAAATCATTTTTGCACTTGTCATTATCAATTAAATTCTAATCATAACTATTCATTTTTAAATTTCCGACTTGAAACAGGTTATTGCCAGATGCTGCTTTAACAACTCACCGATATGATGTATTGTCAGTCCTTTTTTCTGGCAACTGAAATCCATCTTCGTCAATTTTAGTTTCGTATAGTTAAGCATAAGAGAATTCTGTAGGTTTCCACTTTTCCATTTTTCGATACTTCTTGAAATAAACTGTTTCTGTATATATTATTTCTTTCATCATTTCTAATTTATTGCTATATTATTCTGTCCATCTAATAAAAAACTGTAATTAATTTCAATTTTAATTATCGTTCTAATGTTTATTTGGATCTTTTTATTAATTACACTTAATTAATCTAAAATTTTCGCAACGAAAACCAACTGAGGGATGGAAATGCTTGAAAAAATATTACTTCTTTAGTTAAATTTAAAAAAATAATTCAAAAAATTTTAAAGCAATCTAGAGTTTAAATAAAATTTAATGATTTTGTCAAATCTTCATTAAACCATTGATAGGCAAACTTAAAGATAATTAGTACTTAACGATATTCCAAAAGATAGAAAAGATCATTTTTGCATGTTAAATATGATCACTTCTTTGTCCTGATTTCATGAAGATAATCTGTCAAATTTTAAAAGAATTTACTTCATGAAATTTTATGGAAAAGAAATTAATCAATAGGATCTGAAAATGTATCGTTATGAATTCCATTGAAATGAAGCAAATCTTTCACTTTTCAAAATTTTGGTTTGATCTTTGGATAGCATTTCGTTTGATGCTTCTTTTTCCTGATTGAAAGATTAACAATGCAAATAATTCATTCATTCAAATTTTCTTCATTTAATTAAAATGCTTGAAACATTGATAATTTAGAGAAGTTTCCATAAACATTAACTCTCTCAATGTTGAGGGATTTGTCGATGATTAAAAGAGATTTCAGCAAGGAAAGTAACATTTGGTTGTCGGGAAAGTTACGGGGAAAAGGAAGGAAAGATGAGAAAAGAGGCCTCGAGTCAATGATTTATGAGGCACCAATTGCTCCAAACACTTCCTGGCTTTCTCAAAGTTTCTGTTCTTCCATCCATCCAAATGCCGCTCAATCGCTCAACCATAACTCATCACACTTTGAAAAACTCTCTCCCTCTCTCTCTCCGTACTCTTCATATTTTCTTCATTCCTTTCTACTCTTCAAACGTATCGAAATATATTTGTTAAAACAAAAAGCACATGTGCCATCATGTTTTACAGCTTTTCAAATTGAACGAAATGTACTAAATTGTTCAAAATTTTATTGACAAGCGTATAACAAATAAAGTGGCAACGACATCGAATTCATTTATTGAGAAAATTTATTTTAAAATTATCAGTTAGGTCATAAAAAATGGGAAAAAAATCGCAAATTTCTTGGAAATATTGCAATGCTTAAAATATATTTATGAGAATTTTTAAATTTAAAATTATTTTTACACAAAAATTCTCGTTTATTGCATCGCAACATTTCTTTATCATTGAGTAGTAAGAAAAACTAAAATTAGGAAAAAAAAGAGCTTTTTTTAGTTTGCTTCTAAACTTTGACCATTTTTCTAATACAAATTCATCTTGGCCTCAATTTTCGATTTATGATCTCTTGAAGTTGACAAATGGCAATTGAGAATAGTTGAATCAGTGTTCATTGGTCACTTCCATATCAGTGATGATAATTATTCAATTATTCAAATAAAATAGTCATTAGTTTCTACTCCTTTTTAAACTTTCAAACCCAGTAAATGAATAAAGTCAACGAATGAACCAAAGAAATGAAAATAATAAAAATAGAACTTTAAGAAAAAAAAGTAACTTTTTTTTGAAAAACATTTTGCTCATTTGTTTCATTTTATTTCATCCTGCACCAATTTCTTACCGAAGCATATATCAACAAAAGAAAAAAAATTGGATTTGTAATTTTTCTGTTAATTTATTGCCTATTAGAAAAGATTGAATTTAATTTGAAATAATTTCACTTTATCACCCACTATCACTCACTGATCATTCTAATTTTCGTATTCAAATTATTCTGCAAAATTTCAAATGCTCTCAAATTAATTTTCTATTTAGTTATTTTTTGATGTAAAGGTTGGATTATAATTTCTGTTTTTGTATTATTTTGATCAGAAAAAAATTTCATTTTATTTATTGCTTTAACTTTTTCGACACCAAAAAAATAAACAAATAAACCAAAATCTATGAGCATTTTGATGAAAAGGATTAGAAAAGATAGGAGGAGGATAATATTTGATAAACAACCAAAAACGAAATCAAACTGAAATGAACCATTAATGAAGCAAAACACTGGTTTAATGAACTAACAAAACCGATGAATTTAGCTCAATGATAATTTAATTAATACTTCACAGTTATCAGAGACCGTACTTGGTGATAAAGGGAAGAATTATCAATGAAATGGTTAATAGAAGTGTGGTAAACTTTAGTCTTTTTATCTTTCTTTATAAGTTTAGTAGGATTACAAAAAATTCAAAAAAAACTATTAAAATTTTCCCTTATGAATTACTTCACAATAATTGTAATTGTTAAATTAAACAAGCAATTATTAAATGGAGGTAGAACATTTTAAGGAAAATTTTATTATTTGATATATTCGTTAGGAAAAGCAACAAATATTCAACGAACTAAACCAAATGAATTATGCATCAGAAAGTTGAATTGACTTTTATATTGAATTGAAATTTATTTTAGAAGGAAATTTTTAAATTGTTTATGTGACAATTTATTGTAACCCAAACCCATAATAAATCATCGATTTCTGCAAATTTATCTCTTTTTTGCTAAAATTTACTATCAACATATTAAATTCGATATACACAATAATGTAATACAAATGTAAAAAATTTTGATACGAATGCAACAGACACAAAACATAATTCATATTTAAACTACCACATTTTCAAAAATCTAAAAATTAAAATTTATAAGCAAAGAACGAATCTATTCTTCGAAAAATGAAATTGAAATTAATTGATGAACGGTTTAGTGGGCAATAATGAGATGACTAGTTAAAATGTAATTAATAAAGAAGTTTAAATTGTTTCAGAGTGATGTATAAGATGCCCCGTTAGCAACTTCATTAATTATTGTTCCAACCAATTCTACCTTCTCATTTCCACTCTCTTCATTCTCCCACTTCTTCATTATATTACCGTTGCTGGCATAATCATTTCCATCATCATTTTTTCCATTATTTTTGATTTCATTCCTCAAACAATCATCGTTACGTAAAAAAGCATTCGAGAATGCAACTCCCACACCGTTACCACTATCCCGTAAATCGCCGTTGAAATTTGTCGCAGCAGTAGTGGCGCAAATAGTTGTTGCAATAATATTAGCGATGGTAGTAATAGTAGTAGTAGCAGTAGTAGCGGTGGTGGTGGTGGTGGTAATTCTGATAGTTTTGTTTGGTGGAGCAGCAGCTAGCCGTTGTTTCTTCTCTTTCATCCGTCTATTTTGAAACCATATTTTAATTTGTCGATCGGTAAGCGCTAACAATGTAGCAAGCTCATTTCGTCGTTGCTTATTCAGATAACGATTGGTACGAAATTCTTTTTCCAATTCTACAACTTGTGGTGTGCTATATGATGTACGACCTAAAATATATACTGCGTGTGTATTTTTTACGATTCATTCAAATTATTTTCGTAAAAAAAACTTCCATCAATTTTTAATGGCTGTAAAAAAAAAAAAAACGATGATCTTGGAAGAAGTGATTACAGTAAGGTTGAGATGCTGATAGCTATTTGATACTCATAAAATAACTTACATGTAATAGACGTTTTTAATTATGAAATTATTAATATAAATTAAACGGTAGTGTTAACAGATTGAGTAAACAATTCCTTTAATCATCCTTATTTGATCATTAAATTCGATAGTGTGTATATTTATCCATAAATTAACTATTCAACAACAAATAATTGATTAAAAATTCAGTTAAACATACGAATAAATCGATAATAGATAATTTATCAATTGTTCGAAACAACAACCTTATCGATAACTATTATTTTTCACTTTCTGAAAAAGTTAAGTAAAAGTAAAATTTTCTTAAATTTTTTCAAAAAAATATTCTCATTTTTAGAATTATGGTTAAATGAGACATTACGGTATATACTTTCATTTGTTTTAAAGGTAAACGATACAGGTAGCACTTCATTTTTCTACAAATAATTGTAAGTAGTGCTGATGTGATGTGTTTCGAGTTGCAAGAGTAATTCATCATTATTAGAAGTGATAGTAAAAGGATGATGGATGTTTGGGAAATTGATTCACAAAGGAAAGAGAGAAAAAAATGAAAAACTGAAGAACTGATTTTATCATTTATTGCGTGAATTTTATTTCAATTAATTTTTTTTTAAAATTTCCCTTGTGGTAAAAATTAATTTTCTATTAGTTAAAAATTTCAAAAAGAAAAAATTATGCATATTTAAAAGAGTTAATTGAGATGAGATTTATGAGTATGTTTTCCTCTTTTTTTCCCATCTCTCTCTCTCTCTTTCTTTTTTACGCTTCAATTTATTTTTCATTAGAGGAATAAAAGTATTCAAGTCATGCATGCAATTCTAAAATTATCATCCACTAAAATTCCAAATTTAGATGCCATCCGTTAGTTTTACTAAATTACATTACGGCTAAAAAATTTTGATCGATAAATAGATCAATGATTTTGCTACCTTTAATTTTCTTTAAAAATTTCAAATATATAATTTCATTAGGAAATTTTTTCATTTCCTATTTTTTCTTTGCTCTTAAATGTAAAGCCATCTGTTTGCAATGTAAGAATTCATGCTCAAATAACACAATTTTTACAAAATTATAGCACTAAAAATTTCAAAGACATTTCTTTTTTTAACAAAATGAAAGAATTGTGCTTTTCTAAAAGTTAACGAATGAATCGAAATGTTGCAAAAAATAAAAATAAAATTTTTATTTTTTGATTGATCATTTCCCTTTAATTCTCAAAAAAAATTGCCCATGAATTCTTTATAATTGCAACACTTATTTCTTTAATTTATCTATTATTAAAAATTTTTGTAAAGTTCAATACTTAAAAGCGGTAATTATTTCGTTATTATCATTATTATTAAAAATTATTGATTCGTAACATACAGTAATCAAAAATTGTAATTGTCAATAACGGTATTGGAAGAATGAAATGTTTAGAAACTTTTAAATTCATAAAATATAAGATGTTAGAAGGAGCAATACAATCGTTAGAAGTTAAAAGAAAAGTCATTTTATTACATAAAATGTAATAAAATGACTTTTTTTTTTAATTCTTCGAATTGGACATTAGCAATTAAGTGATGAAAGAGAGAGGGAGAAAGGGAGGGTGATTTGTGGCAAATTAGAGACGCGATGTTTAAACAGATAAAAGGAAAAAAGGAGAGAGAAAAATGATGAATTATCAATAACATATCTCGTTTATATAATCAATCAAATATTTCAAATTAGAATTTCAAAGCTTTTTTTTTCATTGAAATTTTGGTCATTTATGTAAAAAAGTATCAATAATAACTGCAAAAATAACGGTCAAAGGTTAAACTATTAGTGCAAACTTAATAGTGATATAATCATAATTTTTTTCCTGTAATCAATCCTCTCAAAATTGATGACAACCCATTATCTTATTCAATTGTTACTCAAATTAATCAATTCAAACAAATATTTTTTGTAAGTTTATGCGCTTAATAATAAATGACTTTCTAAAGTTTTACATTAGTTGATGATCAGTTTTTCAAACAAATTATCAAACGGATAAGATCAAATTGCGCAATCTTTTACTGCCTATCTCCTCAATAGGTTATCTGACAATGTTGAATGAGATCGACTATTGAGATTGTTTGTAACAGTACTGTGAACACAACCATTGTGGTATTATATGCCATATCTGTACACACACACACACACACACACACACACACACACA